TCATGTTTTTGCACTACATCTACGTGTCTCTTGTTATTTACGACGATAATTCCGGATGGAAGCTAATAACACGGGAAATGATAAAATTTTTAGCTCCTAAACAGCTTTTTCTCTTTCCTGTTTCGTAATTTAATCGACGCTTTCTACTCATTAAGCTCGAGGAGTTTTTCTAAGGAATAAGAAAAATCGTTTGATACTTTTTTTTTTGGAGCGTATGTTGTAAAATACGTGAAATAGGACGTAATCCTTATTCTGTAATGAATTTTGTCAATGCTGTTAGTAGTCTCGTGTTTTGGTCTTAATCCTGCAATGTTTTTTTTATCTAATCGGATAGTTAAGTATATGGATATGTCCTGTTTGGTGAATAAGCATACCATATGAAGTCGGCTTGAGCGACACGATTACAAAGTAACTGCACACAAGATCAGAAGTGAACTGTGAGATTTTCTTCACCAAAATATTCGTCATGAAATTGTTTAAGGCAAAGAAAATCATCGAGCACAATCGCAATAAAGAGCGACGCAAGGAGGAAAAGGAATCGAAAGAGCGCCGAGAACGAGTTCGACAGGCACAGGAAGCACGAAAACAAGCGGAGGAGGAGGCAAAAAAGGTGGATTTTCGGATAACAAATTCAAAAAGCAACCTCAAAATTCCATCCCTCTTTGATCATTTAAAAGTGCAGTTTTTGAATTCGACGAAATTTCAGTATCAGTCAGAAATGACATTATCACCAAGATGTTCAGTAACTACATTGAATACTGTCTTACATTGCCACAAAAAAGTTTTTTTATGGTTTATACCGGAAGTATCTGGAATAGCTGTTAATTCATAAACCAAAACTCCCCCTCCCCTACAGCTGGCAACTTTTACACCGAATATGATCCTGTACTTCCGGCATCCAAACCATCCTGCATACTCGAATTAGCAATGCATCGATGGCACCCTTCCTTTTGTTCGTTTAAAATTTCGTGGGTACCACTCAGCTTTTCGTTTCGTCCATCTGTTATCTGTCATCCTTGCCATAACACTAATTTAGCCTACCTTTGTAGCATACATTTCCCTTTACAATTTTTTTTATACGGAAATGTGGCCGCAACTTGTCATCGGTTATTTGTTGCAGCCTGCTGACTGCACCTGGGCAAAACATTGCCATATGTTGTTCAGCAAGTAGTGTTCTTTTAGAATGCTGGCGATACTGGCGGTGCTGGATTCAGAATGCCAGCCGGGTTCGAAAAGGTGCTGCAGGATCCGGAAGTGATGTCCCTGCTGCAAGATGAAACTGTTCTCAAAGCATATATGGACATCACCCAGAATCCGGCCAACATTTCGAAACACCTGTCGAACCCGAAAGTTATGAAACTGTTTTCGAAAATTGGCAGCGCTGCAGGCGGTTTCGGCATGGGTACAGGAAATGCTCAGGTAAATCTTTAATAAATTCGTGGATCATTCCCGCCTGAACAGTTTTCAAGGATTTCGTAATTTAAAAGCGTTGGAACAATTTCAGACAATCGCTAACATTGGTTCGGCAAATTTCAACCCTCTGTTGATCCACTTTATGATTCCTTTTTTTTCTAGAAATACTGAAATTTCAGAAGTCTGACATCCCAGTGATTTTACGGTTTCTAAAAGAGTGTGAAGGAAAACAGGGACAGGGTGCAAGAGGCATCCCCGTTATGATAAGACACATCTCAGGGGGGCAAGATTTCCCTTATTTTTGTTTTCCACATTCTGATACATTCGTGGATTGCTTGGCCGTGTTACAGTCATGCTGTCCGACTGTTGGACAGTTTGTTCCATTCAAAAATCAAGAGTTCTATCGCAGTAGTTTTTATATAAAAATAAAATTCACGGTTTAAACATCTGATGTTATTTCATGACAAATCATTTGTTCAAAAAATCGACGTCAGAAATGAGCTGAGATTATTTAAGCAAGGCAGAGCATTCTTCTGGAAAACAGGAGGTTTTTTTACAAAGTCCTTTTTTTGCAGTTGGTGAACAGATGAAGCACTTGTCAGGAAAACAAAATCAAAACCTCGCTAGAAAAATTCGTGAAATTCTGGAAGTTTGAGAATCCTAAAAGCATTTTTAATTTGGAAATTTCAGAAATAAAGTTGTAGATTAACAAAAAACACATGGAATTCTCGAGTAATTTCAAGACATATACCAACGACATAGAGATTTTAAGAGCGGTAAGTACTTTGATTGTTGTTTTTTAGTATTTTTAAAAAAAGTAAAATGTATTTTAGGGAGGCAGCAGTGAGCAGCAGCAAAAGGCAAATGATGGTGGCGCAGCGACAACAGATATGCCTCCGCCACCTAAAAAAGCACCTGAGCCAGATCTTGATTGAGTCTTCTTCCTCTCGCACATAATACTTTTTTCACTTTAATGTTCAATATCGTTTGTTAGTTTTACGGTTAC